GTCACAGAGGTGAGGGTGCCAAGGAGCTGGGAGGCCGGGTTAGAAGAGGGAAGTGCTGGCAGGGCCAGAGAGGACTGGGGCCAGGGCTAGAATGAATGGGGGTGTTACCAGGCAGTGTGTACAGGACAGCAGTGGCAAAGGCTAGAGATGACATGGAGTTCCAAGGAGTTGTCCATGAGCAGTTCCAGGGAAAGGAGGGATGGAGCTATGGAGGAATGAGCCCCTCACAGGAGAAGAGGTCTCTAGGAGGAGCTGTGAGGTGGGGACTACTGAGAAGAACTGAGTGTATCAGGGCTGGTTGGTGACCTCAGAGAGCACAAGGAGGCAACGTAGGGGTGAGAGCAGAGTGGGATATATCCAGGTGCTTACCCTGGAGATGGGTCAGGAGTCTGATGATACAATGTCTAAGTGAACCAGTCCCCCGCCTTATCTGTGTCTGGGGGCAGGTGAGAGGGAGGCTCAGGCTTTTGGCCAGAAGTCAGCAGAGACCCCCTGGATGCAAGCAAGTCCTGGTCCCAGTTAGAGGCTAGAGGTGGCATTTACTGGCTTCTGGTATTCCTGAGACCACGTGGGTGTGTGTGTGGGAGCTCAGCATCCGTCAGGGAGGAATGTTCAGGTCCAGACAGATTCAGAGGACTTTCAGGGCCCGGATCTGTGCCGAGGCCCTCTGGGTATGTACTTTGTTCCAGCTTACCCCGTCTCTCTAACTAAACTGTAAGCCCTGTGGGGATGGAGACTTAGTATACGAATTTTTAATGTCTCTAATATCTGCTAAGGACATAGTAAGCCCTCAGTAACAGAATTGCATTTTAGAGAGACATGCACCTCTGCCACAGAGGGCTTCTTGAGGATGCACTATAACCAGGACTGATAATGAACTCTCTGAGTTTCTCAGGAACACTTACTGGAGCATGAACAGTTTAAATTACAAGGTCAGCTACCAGAAAGAAAGAAGATAAAATTTGAAAAGCAATAAAGTAGCAATTTACATTTGTTCTCACCAGAGACTAAAGGAACACATTATAACCCTGTGACAAGTTAATGCTGGATCTTTGCTGAAAGCTGAATGTTTCACAGATAGGTTTTACTGCAACCACTGTAGGTTTCTGCGATTGTGCAGGTTCCTTTCTTGATATGAGCAACTAATGAGGAACCTGAAACTCGCCAGAATCTAGAACTTGACCCCAAGACACTTCTCCAAAAGAGAGATCAAGCGACTCAGTCCAAAGAAGTGAGAAATAGATGCCATAGCCAAGATTTCCCTTTTGCTGTCGCTCTGTGAGTAGGAGAGCAAGTGTTAGGAAAAGTGGGAAATTTAAAAGTGTTAGATAGGGCCTTTAAAATGCCAATGTAGAGAAATAAGGAAATTGGTTCTCATCTGTCTTCCCTTGACCAAATTTCACTTTTCATTGCTCATTTAACAGTGTTTCCCTGGTCCCTATACTTTAATATCACTAAGCTTTAGTTTTGCACATTCACTTGTCTTTATTATTTTACACTCTTTATTTTATGCTCATTTCCTTTTAATCTTCTCTCTCCATTGCCAGTTTTATTTATTTATTATTAAGGTATTGATATACACTCTTATGAAGGTTTCACATGAAAAAACAATGTGGTTACTACATTCACCCCCGTTATCATGTCCCCCCCATGCCCCATTGCAGTCACTGCCCATCAGTGTAGTAAGATGCCAGTCACCATTTGCCTTCTCTGTGCTACACTGTCTTTCCCCTGATCCCCCCACCATGTGTGCCAATCATAATACCCCTGAATCCCCTTCTCCCGCCCTCCCCACCCCTCCCCTTTGGTAACTGCTAGTCCCTTCTTGAGGTCTGTGAGTCTGTTGCTGTTTTCTTCCTTCAGTTTTGCTTCGTTGTTATACTCCACAAATGAGGGAAATCATTTGGTACTTGTCTTTCTCCGCCTTCCATTGCCAAAGTTTTAAAAAACTATTTTTTAATTAAAAGTTTTTATTTCAAATGCCCAAAGTGTAGTTTTTAGTGAGAAGAGGATTGGGTTTGCACCCTGGGGACTAGACCAGGGATTCTTCACTGAGTGGTCGCTCTGTTAGGTTCCTGTCCCTGGAATTGGTCTGCCTTGGCCCAGCATTTCTATAGTGGCACATAAGTACCTTCTTGGTGCATCCAGAATTCCTGAAAAGAAAAGCACATTAAAGATGGCCAGTGGTTATAATGCTTAATCTATTATAATCTTGAATCGATTTCTAGGATCATCTGTGCATAACACATTTTTTAAAAAGGTGCTTTCAAACAAAAAAAGTCTTTTTTTTTTTTTTTTAGCATCCACCACTATGTGGCAGGCACTGGCCTAAGGATACAGATCAGAATTATCTCAATTGCCTGCTCTTATGGATCTCACAGTTTATATACAAAATGAAATCCAGCATATAGCCTTCCATGACTGTTCTAGTTTCTGCTCTACCACCTTCCTGTGTGAAACATCCTGTGTGGGAGGGGAGAGGGGCAAGAGTTGCCTACTGTTTTATCTGGGCTTAATGACCCACCAGATGGGATCATTTGTAAAACACATGTGGGAAGCAGGGAACTTCAGGGGAGGATCAACTGCTCAGACAGCTAAGGTACGTGAAGCCCAGGGAGTGCAGGGCTGGTCCAAAGATCACAGCTGTCATTGCTCGTCCAGGCTCTACTCTGCTGCATCCTCACACCCATTCTAGACTGTCAGCCTCAGGCACTGGGAGGACAGAGGACCTGCCATCTTATCATCCACTGCTTTGAACATTTATTGTGCAACTACTTTAATGGAAGTAGTTGTTAGATACTTTATATACACTGTCTTACCTTTTACAAACTTGTAGGGTAGATGTTTTTATTAATCCCAATTTAGGGATGAGGAAACTGATACAAAAAGATCTTATAAATTGGCCAAGGTTACAGGGCTAGTATGTGTCAGAGCAAAGACTGGAATCTGGGCCTAAATTTACCATATATATATATATATATATATATATTTTTATATAATTATTTTTTATTGAAGGGTAGTTGACACACAGTATTACATTAGTTTCAGGTGTACAACACAGTGATTCAACATTTATATACATGATAATTCTAGGTACCAGCTATTACCATACCAAGTTGTTACAATATTTTGACTATATTCCTTATGCTATACTTTACATCCCGGTTACTTATTTATTTTACAATTGGAAGTGTGTACTTTTTTTTTTTTTTTTGAGAGGGCATCTCTCCTATTTATTGATCAAATGGTTGTTAACAACAATAAAATTCTGTATAGGGGACTCAATGCTCAATGTATAATCATTAATCCACCCCAAGCCTAATTTTCGTCAGTCTCCAATCTTCTGAAGCATAACGAACAAGTTCTTACATGGAGAACAAATTCTTACATAGTGAATAAGTTACATGGTGAACAGTACAAGGGCAATTTACCATATTTTTAACCAATACCCTTTACTGCCTCTCTCAGAGATTCTCTACTTGGTCACCAAGCCAAAGAAGAGAGAGGTCCCATCAGAACTGATGGACGGATCAAAACCCGCTGGGTGTGTCTTAAATATAGGTGTTCCTCTTTCAATTCAATTCAACAAACTTGCATAGTCAGGCTCTAGGTTAGGCTCTAGAAATTTGAGAGGATGGCTAGAACTAAGTGACATTCCAGCGTATTGCAGAACACAAGGCCTCCTCACCACCCCTTCTGAATAATTCTTTGATTATGTTATCTCTTGCATTCATTCACTCCATTTAATCACTCAACAAGTGTTTCCTCTGATAAAATGATACCTGTTGAAGGGAGGCAGTTCTGAATCCAGCATACCATGTACGGGGGTAGACAATCCAATACTTCAATTATTGAACCTCATTTTCCATTGTAATTTTCTAATCATTAAAAAAGATCAGTAATCAAATTATTTGTATTATCCTCAACAGGCATTGGATTAGGTTTCTTTTAATCTAATGGATAAATTCAAATTTAATCCAGTAGGGTAACACTGAATCCATCTGAGACATTACTTCAGAATCCAAGCATTCTGTAGTATCAATCATTTTTTTAAAAAGTCAGTGTCTAAAAAGTCGATCCTAGCTCCAAGAAAGACACCTGAAAACCCCCTCCCACAAACTATACAGATTATGAGGGGTTATTACCTAGCATAGCAAGAATTTTTCCCTTACAAAATAATTCATTGTCCCTTAAAATACATAATAGTGAATGAATGTATTAGCTTCTTTAATAAATCGCGGGGCAGAGAACTTAAGGGAGAGGATCCACAGCCACGTGAAGCCGCTGGAATTACAATGGAGATAAGAACGATGTGGCTTGATTTACAAAACTGGAACTTACGGACTTTTGGGTCAAGCCCACTGGACACGGCGAGAACGGGAACCTTTCCATTGTCAAGGAGGCTGTAAGGCTGGGCGCCGCGAACGCCGGCGTCTTGAGGGGAAGGGGAGAAGGGCTAACTGGGATCTGCCCGGTTCTCCCAATCTTCCTGGGCTTCTTTAACTCAGGAATTGAGCTCCGTGAAAAAAAAATTTTTTTTTCGACTAAAGTTTTGTATTTTATCAGCAAATAAAATTTTCTGCTTTCTTTTAAGCCACTAAGTTACAGCATGTGAAACTAACAGAACATACGTGCTGATAGTCTTTCCGTTTCGGGCCATTCAACTTTGTCACCCTCAGCCTGGACGCCTACCCTGGTTTTCAATTTACATTTCTGTCAGACACAGACTGTGTCTCAACCCTTACCAACTCCCCTGGGATACTTTGCTGCCATTTTTAATCGGGTTGTACCGTTCGTCCCACCAGTGAAAGAGGGAGCTGCCCTCGGCAGCGGACTGAAGGGTGAGGCCACACCTCGCGGTACTAGGAGGCCGAGGCTCAACTTTGTGGATCGCCTTCCCGCGGCGGGGCCACCGCGGCTCTCGGGCGCTCGCTTAGCGACCCTCCCCGGTCGTTCCTGAGTGCCTCCTTCCCGACCGGCCGCCCCCGCAACAAGCTTACCGGGCAACGCGAGCTTTGCCCGGCACGACGCGCAGCCTTTATCCCGTTAGAAACTTCAACCAGCGGCCACCCCAAGAGAGCCCTTTCTTTTTCCAGGCCACTCCCACAGGGCGGGGCCGCTCCCGGAAAGAGGTCCGCGCGCTCTCCCAGGCAGCGCCCCGCTCGGGCCCAGGGCAGGGCGAGGGTCGCAGGACAGCCGCGAGGTCCGCCCCGGCCCGCGCAGGGAGTCTGCGCGTGCGCGCTGGTCGGCCTGGAGCGCGCGTCCGGCGCGGAGGGGCAGCGGAGGCAGGGCCGCGGCGGCTCACAGGGTGTCCCCGCCCCCCGCCCCCCGGCGTTTCGCGGTCGCCGTGACAACCGGAGCGGCGGCAACGGCTGCGGGCGCGCGAGTCCGGCGCCGCCTCCCGGCCGCACAGCCAGCCAGGCAGGCAGCCGCCGCCTGGCTTTGCAGCTCTCCCCGCCTCCTGGCCCGCGGGGAGGGACCTGCCCGCCCTCCGCCCGCCCGCCAGCCCGCGGGAGAGTGAGCGGCGCCCGGGCTGCCCCGCCAGCCCGCCGATCCCTGGTCACCGTCCGGCGCGCGCAGCGAGCAGGCGCGACTATGCCAAGATGGTCCTGCAGGCGCGGAACAAGCACCGAGAGGCGGCCCCTAAGCCGCCCCGCGCCTCCCGGTCGCCGCTGAGAGCGGCGCCGGACGCTGGCGCTGAGGAACCCGGGCCCGAGCGTGCGCCTCCGTCACCCGGGCGCAAGGGCGCCGCGGGCAGGAAGGGGCCCCGTGCCGAGCCCGTCGCGCCGCCCGCCGGGGGCGGCCTCCGGGGACGCCTGGCGGCCGGGCTGCGCGGGGCGCTGGGCCTGCGGCGCGCGTCGCGCGTCCGGACCTGGACCACGCTCTTGCTAGGTGAGCAGCCCCAGCGCACGGGCGCCGCCGGGTCGCGGAACTTTGAGGCGCGCGCCGCCCCTCTACCCTTGCCCTCCGCCCCACTCCCGCCTTCGCGCAGCAGTGCCCCGCCGGCCAGGCTCTGCCTGTTTGCAACCCTCTCCGACTTTTCCTGGGACTTCCTCACCTCCTCTTCTCTTTCCCTTCCCCCTGGCTCAGGCTTCCTCGCTCCCTTACCATCCACTCTCAGTCTCTGCTTAAAAAAAAAAAAATGGCCCCGAGATCAACAGCTGCCCGGCCTGGCCGCGAACTGACAGGTCTGAGCTAACTAGACTTGGGCGCTGCTGATTGGCGCGGACCGGCCGCCTTCTCGTAATCTCGGCCCCTGCCGGGGTAGGGGGGATGGTTTGCTTTGGGATGGAAGCGATTAGCCCAAAGAAAGAGCAAGTCCCCTGTCCTAGAAAGTTACTAAATTTATAATTAAATTTTAGCGTGCTTTTTTTCTTCTTGGCCTTAAACCGCCGGTAACACTCTACTTGTGATTCCCCTCGGTATGTCACTTTCCAGGTCGTGTTGTGTTTTGGGCACCCGAGCCATAATCCTCCCAGCTGCCCAGGGAACATTTAGTGGGGAGGGCCTCCCTTCCTTTCCTGCTGCCATGTACCAAATGGCTGATGTGTAACGATGTTTTGAAAAAATAAAGTTGAAATATTCACAGGTTGAGAACAGACTAAAGAGTTCCTTTGTTTTCTGATTGACATTCCGGTAAGGATAGCAGTTGAATAACAGGCCTTATTTTTCTAAGTCAGCCAGTAAAATGCTGTAACACTTCCTTTCCTATATATTGCCATTAATGGGCCTTGGTTACTGAATTATTTAACTACTGGTGATTTATCCCTTATTATCTTTTAAAATTCCCTTAGTGACCCAAAAGAATTTGGAGTTCAATATAGGCGGAGGAATAGAACACAAGCAAATTGGCTTCCCTTGAGATCAGAGTCACCACTAGAAGCCACTCAATCATAAAAAGCCAGAGTTATCACCGAGTGAGTGTGTGTGTTTTAATGGGCTCAGAAAGTTTGATGTTGTTTTGGGGGTACTTTTTTTTCTATTGTAGTTTAGAAAAATTCAGCATTTTCAGTGCATTCCTCCTTTTTTCAGTCCCGGGCTTGAAAAACCTTGCCGGAGTGCAGGTTAGATAAGTTCACCTTGGGGAGGCAGCATGGTACAGTAGATGAGACAGAGGCTCCAGATCCAGTTCTCAGTGGTTAAGTTTGGTGTTAAGTTTCAAGTAATTTCCTTTGTGAGCTTTCCTGCTCTGGCACATGGGATTCTCACCTGCCCTACTTACTCCACAGGCATGTCCTGAGGAGTAGAACTAAAACGAGTGGGTAATGTGTAGGCACTTAGAATCTAAGGCATTTAATAAGTTTTAGTTGCTATTATAAAAGCACATGCATAATACTGATTTGAGATCTACTGACAGAATGAAGTTGCATTTTTCTTTAATGGTAAGTATAAATATTAGCCACTTTGCATGAAATATGGAAGGGCATCACTTCAGGGAGGTTACAGTTACAAATAGAACAATATTGTCATTTTCTTTTATGCATTTTTTTCCCTTGTAATTGCATTTCTTTAGAATCTTTTTATATTGGATGCCTTATATTTGGATTTAGTAATGCTCACACCTAAATATAGTTTGGTATTAACTGTGACATTTTACTTGACCCGCCCCTTTGGGCATTAGAAGGAGGTACAGTGAAGGAGCTGTGCCTTGTTCTTGGGTATCTCTGGACACTGGCCATCAGGTATATGGAGGTTGGATGACCAGGCCAAGGTCTAGAGACTTTCTGTCCTTGCTAACCATCGACATGGGGCCACAGGGCAGCTTGAGAGATGGTTCTGGAGAATGACTGGACTTGGGGTATTTGGTTCTTTTTTTGGCCTTTTACCCTTAGATCCTGTGAAAGGGAGCAGAATTTACATAGTTTTGAAAGCTGCTTCATTTCCTTCCACCTCCCAGAATGAGAGTGCGAGTTGTGTTAACACTGTATAGTTTTTTAGTATGTGGCTTTGCTGTGACACAAATTAATTCATTTATGTTTAGGAAGCAGTTTTACAACTTGAGGCTCCCTGATGGAAGCACAAATTTTTAAGTTAGAAACTGACTAGGGGTCCCTGGTTCCACTTCTCTCGTGTCCTCCATGCATGCTAAGCACTGATGAGGAGCTCACTACCCACCAAGGGGGCCCATTCCACTGTTGGGCAGTGGTACGCACTGTTAAAAAATCCACATTAATAACTAAAATGCTTTTCTTATGTTTGGACATCGTGTATTATTTATTTAATAGTAACAGTTGTAAAGAAGGGTTCTTGACCTGTTTATTTTTAGAAGTTTCAACCCAGTAGCTCTGTATACCAGCCAGGGGAGGCAGTGGTGTGGTAAGAAGAACCAGGACAATGTTTCTCCAGCTTTTTGACCACAACCCAGAGTGAGGAACACCATTTACATTAAACCTCCTCACACTTCTGAAAGTGCAACCCAGAACATTTAAGCATGTGTCTGTCGATCTGTTTGTGTATGTCGATGTCCTGCAGGAAACAGATATAATAAGTGGGGTGTTTTCAACAGTGTGAGCAGGTTTAAAGAACCCCCAAAGGCTAAAGCACATAGAAACTGTTAGCAGTGGGAAGGTGCTACCACATTGGCCTGAAGGGGAAGAGGAGCTTCATTAGGAGCTGAACCCAGGGAGCACTGTGCTGTGGGGGAAGTATCCCCCAAGAGGAGTGACCCCAAACATCCTCTTTCCACCCTCTGATCTGCTGGTGCCTCTCACAGGCTGACCAGCTATAAACCCTAAGGCTAAGTCGACAGTGTTAGCCTCCTGGGGCTGGGAGCAAGGCAGGGAAGGGAGGAGAATGGATTTGGAGAGGCAGAGGGAAACTAACCAGCACGTATGTGCATATGTTTAACACAAAATGTCATGTAACAATATTTAACCCTATAATGTACAGTACATTCTGGTTTTCTTTTTTTTTTTTAAAAGCTGTATTTACCATGAAGTTGATTTCTAAAACTGCCTTAGAAGAACTGTTTCCTGATTCTATACTAGTTTCAAATTAGTTGGGTACCTGAGCAAGGCATTGAGGGTGACCTGGACTAGATTAGTGGTTTTTAGTCTTCACTGTATACTAGAGTCACCTAGAAACTTTAAAAAATCCTGATGGGCAAATGACACATCAGACCAATTAAAGCAGAATCTGAGGAAGGGGTGAGGTGGAGGGAAACATCAGTAGTTTTGAAGTCTGATTTCCTGCCTCTCTTTAGAAGCAGACTGTTTAGTGGCACTGAACTGATGTTCCTGCATACAGTAGTCAGTCCCCTGAAACTAAGTAAATCTCCACTTTTAATGCAGACACAGACAGTCCCATTTGCCAGAAGTTTCTCCTAGTCTTTTTGTTTTCTCAAAATTGGGGCTGTAAGCTGTCCTTTATTATCTGACACAGCTATTTCCATTAGAGTTGAGAGAAGAGTGACATGTTTCTTGAACCTGTGTTCCTTATCAAAAGAGGGAAGATCAAGGGATAGCTGGTTAGGGCTCCATGTTTCAGGCATAAATGGGAGCAGTGCTTTCCTTTGTGGGAATAAAGAATGTAGTGTTAAATATGCAAACAAAGCATGTGTATGGTTGTGGGGAAAATGGAAATTCCTACAGCCAGGATCCTCACCTGACCCTGACTACTTGATGATGTAATCTGGATTAACATTAGCCTACTGCTAGGCTAATGCTTCCACACCATAGGTGATAAACTATTATTGACTTAGCCACTATATAAAGAGCTCTGCCCGGTGCTCTGGGCAGAGGCAGAGATGGGGGTGGATTATGGCTGGATGCAGATGTGATTCACCTACTGCTGGGAGAATAAAGCTGGGTATAAACCCTTTTACCCCAAGTATGTTCCATTGGCATTTCTCAGTCTCACTGAATCTTTAGTGAACTTGCCCTGGGGTGAAACCCGTAGGCTATACAGTGGTAAAAGACCATAAGGTAAGATGCCATATACAAAACAGAATATAAAAGTGCAAGCTATATATGGAAAAGACAGATGATTAAAGACTACTTGTTTTTTCCTCTTATATCTGTCCTACCTGACTCATTTTCATTACCTGCCTGCTTCTTGTGGTCAGTGGCAGCTGCACACTTGCTCTAAGCTTGTTCTTTATTGACAAGGCTTCCCAACCTCAGTGCTAGGACATTTTGGGTGGAATACTTCTTTGTTTGGGGAGCTTCCTGTGCATTGTGGGAGGTGTAGCCACAGCCCTAACCCCTATCTATTGAATGCCCATAGCACTTCCTCAGCTGGGAAAACCAGAATGTCTCCAGATAGTGGTAAAGATCCCTTGGGAGGCAAAATTGCCACATTTAGAACTACTGCTTTTATTTTCTACAACTTATGAAAGCCTGGGAGCCCATGTAATGGAAAACACATGTGACTTCTTTGGAGCAGAACAGTAAGAAACTGGGTGAAAACAGCGGTTGGAGTCTAGGTTTTGTGATCTGGGATGGGTAGGAGGCAATGTGGTGTGTTTGAAGCAGCACAGGTCTCTCAATACTGACCTGCATTTGAATCCTGTTTCTATACCTAAAAGCTATAGATTCCTTAATATTTCTGACTCTTAGTTGCCTCATCTATAAAATGGGGATAATACATGCTTCATTGTAGCTATGATAAAGAATGAAATAATATATGTAAAATGACAGTAGCTTCACTTCCATTCACCAATTATTGAATGCCTTCTTTGCCAGGTGCTAGTTGTTGGGGATAAAATGGAGGACAAGAAGGCTGTAGCCTCTGTCTCCATGGAACTTCTGTTCTAGAAGTTGGGGGTTGGGGGGGCAAATAAATAAAAATAATCACACATTGTAGTAAGTGCAGTGGAGGAAAGAAAAGAGAAGAAACAGGAAATGCCAACTTTAAATTGGGTCTGGGAAGACTTCTGTGAGGTTGCCTTAAAG